ATCTCAGTTACTGTCTTGAATTTAGCCCACCGAGTGTGAGATTTTCCTGTCGTCCTTGATCAAATTCGTAGACGTTGATCGTAGAGGATGGCAAAGGGCACTTTCACCTGGAAGCACTTCATCGGGTTGTAGTGAGACCGGATATTGTCAGGTGAACTTGTCCTTTTTCAGAAAGTCGGCTTTTGGTGTTTAATTTGATTTTCTCTCTAGGTGGCTGTGTGAAAATTTCGATGCAAAGTCAAATTCCATCAAAGTATTGGAACATCTGTCCAATAGTATTTTCTGTGTTATTCAGCAAAGCTTCATGCCTTCGAAAATGAGTGCTAGTAAGTTAGTTCTGTTTGGGCTCTGGTGTAGCACAGGTACAGGCTACCTGCTGAAGGCACGCCCCGGGATCAAAAATTGGGGGTTGTGCTGCTCAAATACTACTGACAAGTTTCCAAGTGATCCAGTAGTGGGGAAAAAAGCGAAAAAAAAATCGCAAAAAGTGCCTCATGTAGAACCTCATGTTGAAACACGCTCGTAGGGGGGAAGAGAAGAGGCCCAGTCGGACGAGTTTTCACTTGCTGTTGCCAACTCCTTCTCCTTGCCACCTCATCATTAATAATTTAACATGCAGAGAGCCAGTAGCGGAACGACCACTTCATCAGGAAGCGATTAAAAATAGAAGTTGGGCGTATTCATAGCCAGTGGGCGGAGTCGTGGTTCCGTCGCGAGCAGACGGCACTTTCCTCACATTTTTTGGGCTGCGAAAGTGGTACATCTCACATGGTCGCAGGCAGGACTACCATGTCCAAAGAAGGCGCCTGAACATCAAATGAACGTGGGGCATGCCTTTAAGGGACAGTTTACTTGTAAATGACGTCACCTTACATGTTAATGACGTATCTTGAGACGTCACTGACAATCATTGGCACGTCATCCCACCGTCTTGTTATACGGTAGGTCATCCTCTCACTCTGAACAGGTAGCAATCCTGTACAACATCTGTGCCGCTATTTGAAAAGCTCCTGTTTTGGAAGCGGGTTCGTTCCTAAATTTCGTTTTTTAATTTGCTGTCCTATTTCAGTAGAGGCTGATATGGATCCCGACTTAATCCAGCCAAGAGGATCGTCCGGTTTCTTTTTCTCGAACGTGTGGCATCCATATGTTGAGCATTTATCGGCCAAGAAATCCATTTTGTATGTTCACAATATGATCTTTTCATAATTTTTACTCCTTCCTCTATATTCGGCTTCAGATTGGATAGCCTTGAAAGGCACGAGGCTGGAACATTGCCAGAAGGCTATGTAGTGTCACGAGCAAACTGCGCGTTGGTTGATTTTGTTCAAGCTGTCTACGCAGCCGTGGATGCGCTTAGTTTGCAAGGTACTCCTTGATTGAAGATTTTACTTCCTATAGTTTCCGTCGAAATTATATTTTCAGAAAATGGAGATAAAAATAACAATGAACATGTTGCCGAATCAATTTTCACCAGTTGTCAACCCAATCTGCTGGCCGCGTTGAGCCTTTTGTTATCAGCGAGGTATGTCAGAGTTATCGATAAAGAGACACTCAATTTAGTGTGTGTCAGTGCTGAAGTGTCACCAGCCGCGTTCCGAAGTCAACGCATCGACGCGCTGTAGCGCGTGTCAGCGCGCGATGAATGCAAGGGCGCCCCATTGCTACAGACACGAACGCAGCCGTGGACGGAAATCGATCGGCCCTGGCTGCTTGCGTTCTGAGAGAGAGTATAGATAACACGAGGGGAGGCGCTGTCTTTTCACATTCTGATGCACTCCTATTCCCCATACTCTCAAAAAAAAACAAGCGGAGGCACCGATCGATTCCCGTCTACGAATGCGCTCCATTTGTGGAATTGGAGCGCTGTTGCAGTTGTAGTGCGTTGACGCGCGTTACAGCGCGTCACAGCGCGTCGGCGTAAATGACAAGCGTCACCGCGAATTCTGAACGCTGTCTTCGGTGTAAAAGTAGAAGATTCCACGTGAGAGTGTTGTTCGACGGAGCTATGTGATGAGTTTGTAGCACTGACGAAACGGTGACGGATCAGCTTTTGTGTGCACTTTCGACGCTAATGTCAGTTGGATGCAAATTGAAAGCAATTCCTGCCAGTTTGAATTGTTTATACGTTCTATGCTGTACTTGCTTACCAACAGTGACGTATTTGCGTTCGTATGCAGGAGCAGAGACGCCCATGAACGAGCGTGAGTTCTGAATATTGTTTTTGGGCAGGCAACTAAAAAGTAGTTAAGCTCTATTTTTTAATACGTGAGTGTGCGAGAAAGATGAACGCGAGCGATTGTCCCTTTTCTTCTGGCTTTTTTCTGATTCCGCTCGCGCCGCCTAGTTCTTATCAAGTCGCCTTGGGGCCGATAGGTTACTAATCGGAAAAGTTCGTCGGAAATGCTTCAAAGCAGTTCGACCTGATGAAACAAGAGCTCTAACAGGAAACCAAAGTTCTAACAACTAGTTTTGTTTTTACTGCTGACTTTACTCTGTGCGCGATGCGGAAGTTATCGCAAGTTTGCTGATTAGCAAATTTGCTGATCATTGGTGAAAAGTTTCCCTCGCAGGGTACAGCATCATTGGGATTGAGGAAAATCCCATCAGGTCGTTGGAGAGAGAGAGGGATTGTATTTGATCGATACCCCCTTCCTCCCGCTCAACGGCAGGAAAACAGGAAAATTCTTTAACAGACTGAAAAGCAGTAGGAAGCTGGGAATTTTAGGAAGATGCTAGGGAGTATGAGAAAGTGGTTCTACCAAAGGAGGAAATTGGGGGAGTCGTCTGACACCACCATATGTTTCGTCCTGACGCTGTAGTTTGTTGCCTCGACTGTGAGTTAAACTGGGATCCTACGCTTTTCAGCGACTGTGTTTTCAGTATACCACCAAGGCCACGAAATACTCTATAAAAGAGTAGAGGATAAATTCTTCGCCGTTGATCAATTCCATTTTGGGATGCGGCTTGCATCTTACTTCAAATCGGAATCGTAGTAGCTGCTCATGTCTTCCCAGATGACTCTGGTTCCACTTCACCGTCTCGAGAGGCTAGGAGGTTTGGCTAGCCTGAGCGGTAGCCGTTTGACCCTCGGACCCGCGTGGCAAGCGTGTCCCTTGCCATTACATCACCTCTCTATGTGGTTGTATAAAGTGCTGGTG